CGATTTCTGCTAGTAGAAGAAGAGAATGCTGATTACTCTTTCCTTTTGTGGTCTTTGAAAAGGTTGCTCCAGAGATTGCAGAATTCACTGGAATTGTATAAATGGTCATCCTTAGAACTAGAGGAGGCACAAAGGGACATTCACTGGAATTTACATCTCCTTTAGTATCTTTCCTGTCATGGAAGGTTGATTCTGAATCCATCCCCATTGCAGCACCCTTCAAAACATACCTATAAGATAGACCATTATTTTTAGTCCCCATTTGAAGAAAGAAGGGGGTCTAAGGGAATATATATGCTTGACCTGAATGAATATGCAAAATCCAGCTTCTGAACCAGATTGTTTTTTCTAACTAGTTTAGTAATATCAGTTCTGGCTGGTGATTCTTTCTGAGATGTCATGCAAGAGTCTTCCCCTTTTCTGCAAAAATTACTTTTTTGGGATAAATTATATCTTGAACTTTAACCGTGGAATGTATGTTTTCTATCCCACTGTATCATGACTTCTACCAACAAAGTCTTACCTTAGACCACTTGGTAAGTATGTTGCTGAAATGAGATTTGGACCAAGAACTTTTCTACTTCTGCTCTTATTCAACATTTTTCAGTAGCCTTTCACAATGTTTGTGGCTATACTTTGTGCATGATATGTATAATCTGAATCTGTATCTGCCCCCTTATATGAAGTTAGAAAACTGGTGACTCTTTTTAATGTAAAACTTGATAGTCAACAAACTATTCCATTTTAAGTTTTAATTGTACTTTCTTTTCCTTCTACCCTTTCCATTTGTTCTCAGTTCCACCTGGAGTGATACAAAATGGAGCTCGCATTCTGAGTAGAGGAATTTTCCCAGGAGTTAGACCACTGCCAATAAACCCTATTGGAAATATGGCTGCAGCAGTAAGGTAAGGGTGCTGAAGTGCAAGATCAGTAGCACTGCATTCAGTTGGATCTCCACTGTAATTTCTGTTAACCCCAGGATTATGCCCTCTGTGATAGCCAAGAAAACCAAGAATCTTCAAATAAAAACTCTAAAAGGGCTCTAATGTGTTTACAATTGATTTAGTAAATTTGGAGACATACAGTGCATTCAGAAAGTATTCAAACCCCCTTCACTTTTTTCAATTTTGTTGTGTTGCAGCTTGATACTACAATTGTTCAAATTTATTTTTTTTCTCATTCATCTACACACAGTACCCCATAATGACAAAGTGAAAACAGAATTTTAGAAATATCTGTAAATTTATTAAAAAGGAAAAATTGAAATATCACATTGGCATAAGTATTCAGACCCTTTGCAGCAACTCTTGAAATTCAAATTTATTTTTTTTCTCATTCATCTACACACAGTACCCCATAATGACAAAGTGAAAACAGAATTTTAGAAATATCTGTAAATTTATTAAAAAGGAAAAATTGAAATATCACATTGGCATAAGTATTCAGACCCTTTGCAGCAACTCTTGAAATTTAGCTCAGGTGCCTCTTCATCATTGCTGAGCTGTTTCTACACCTTGATTGGAGTCCACCTGTGGTAAATTAAATTGATTGGACATGATTTGGAAAGGCACACACCTCTCTATAGAAGGCCTCACAGCTGACAATGCATACTGTATCAGAGCAAAAGCCATGAGGTCAAAGGAACTGCCTGCAGACTCAGAGACAGGATTATTGCAAGGCATAGATCTGGGGAAGGCTACAAAAATATTTCTGCTGCACTGAAGGTTCTCAAGAGCACAGTGGCCTCCATAATTCTCAAATGGAAGAAGTTTGGCCCAACCAGGACTCTTCCAAGAGCTGGTCGCCTGGCCAAACTGAACAATCAGGGGAGAAGAGCCTCAGTAAGGGATGTGACCAAGAACCCAATGGTAACTCTGACTGAGCTCCAGAGATCCTGTGTGGAGATGGGACAAAGTTC